ATCAATCCATCCAGCATTTTGTCTTTTTCAGCTGTCAAGCTATGGATATGTTAATTTGCTCGATTTTACCATGACCCTTTAATACACAAATATGGTGGCGCCGCTGGCAAATACAGGCTGCTATTTAATGTATCAAGTTTTATCATTGCAACGCAGCGGCGATTTCCATTGAGGGCTTATTCAATTTCAGTAATTTTTCATTTTCAGAAATAACAGATTGTTCGTATAATTCCCCTCCTTAGCCTTCAAGAAAGCATACATATCGTCGGTGGATGGTGTCAAATAAGAGAGCTTGCTACACAGGTATTTAAATAGCACCACAAAACTTAACCTGTCACGTTACTTGTGTACCACTGAAAAGTTTAGTCCCAATGGTAGAAATGGAAACTTGTACGAGTTACTGATACAGTGGAAAATAATTACGTATCAGTAATACAGTAACCACATTTAACTTTTTGAAACATCACGGTTGCATGTTGTTCAAATACGTTTGTCTTGTGGGTGAACGTGTTTCCACCAGTAAATTTGGAAGGAATTTGAATTAAAAATGCATAGCACACAAGGTTTAGAATATCCGAAATCAAAAGAATTTAGTTTATTCTGCCGTTTATATCAACAGTGGTTTGAGTATAAGCTTCATTGTGAGAATTATTTAAAAGCCGATAATTGCAGAAGTCAACGATAGTATTTTTACTTATTTGCAAAAGTAAATTAGATCCGTTTAGCATAACACTTGAAGAGGTTTAGCAAATAATTCGGGACCAGTAGATTCAGGTTGAATAAATATGTGTTTAAATCCGCTATATATTCCAGCTTCTGAAATATAACCGCAGGGAGGCGTTTCTTGGTACATTTCACGCGCATTTTCTATTGACACCAGCTAAGAAAAACATTCTATGGCCTAATCTGTAAGTTCTAAATTTACCACAATGAAACACTTAGCATTATACTTTTTTGAAAGCAAATATAGAAAGTATTTCGCGAATAGCCTTATAAGGAAAAAGCATTTATTTATTAACAAATCACTGAGAACCGTCTCGCAATATTTAAGTGGTTAAAGGTTGAAATTAAATGTCTTCAAACTTGATGGCATCGGGATGTATGCTCCTTCAAAATACGCGGTCACAGTCCCGCACAAAGTCCGCCAGGAAGCGGGTTGTTCCATAAAACTGGATAACTAGATTACTTAAGTTTCAATCCACAAGTTCAGCACACGGGAGTGTAGCGGTATAAGTAAGTGTAAGTTGCTCATTAGAAACGTCGAACCTGTGATATAACATTTTATGTGGCGGCTAGCAGTCTTCAGATTATGTGGCTTTTTAGAAGTCAGTGCATGTTAACTAGTAGTTTTCCTATTGTTACTTTGTCCAAGGTGAGAAAAGTACCCGTCTTTAACTTCGTTGGCTAAGTGGAAGGGCGCTCGCATTTGATGTGGTCGATCTGCTCATTTACAGTTCATAAATTCCGGCTTAATACTATATATTAGAATGCGCCCCAGGTCACGACTTTGTTTTAGATAAACTGTTGTTAATTTACAACAATTCTGTTTATCGCAATTGAAACAAGAAGTAGGTTAGGAGGCAGGAACTCAATATTTCGCAGGAGTAGCATCTCTGAATCACGGTCAAATGAGTTGAATGACCAAAGTTACAAAATCTAGGAGAGTCCAAATTCCAATTTCCATTATGACGCAGTCCAGCCAACCGTTAAGCCAAGTGACGCGTGAAACATACTGTAACAAACCATGCCAGTTTCCAAATAGAATGTTCTAAAATGCTAAGTATTTTATTGCATCAATTTTAAATGCCCATCCCAAAAGTCTGGGGCATTTGAATCTTGGAGTGCTTAAGGGTATTTTACATTCTCCATCGGGTTAGGCGTAGGTCTTGAGAAGAATATGACGTTTATTTTGCTGACGTTAACTCGAATAATAATTACGTAATGTGTTGAGATGAGAATGGCAATTTTACCAGGTAAATACTACTGATATTTGTTCAAGTCACGGCAGCAAAATGGCCGGGCGTGAGTAAGTTACTGTGGAATACCCGTTAGCTATATACCATTGCATGTGGCTTATAAACGATATACTTAGAAGGTTGCATAGAAGATGATCAAGTGGAATTGCCAGAATTGGCCTTTTGATGAGATACCATGTTTAAGTGAGAGACTGAAACATACTGTATTTATGGGCAAATGAAAAGGTTTCTTCGCAATTCTACGGAATAACGAAAAATCCAAAACATTATCGTCAGCAGTTTTGTCTGTTCCGTTAATAGTTTATCCTTGTTCTCCTAGGAATTTCCAATGTGTCTTTATTTCCGTGCAAACGATATCTTCTTTTGGCATCGTATGTAATAGAGATTATATCGATAACTTCCTGGGCTGCAATGGTACGAATTGCTGGATCCTGTAAAGAATGCTTAATATGGTAGTTGTCGGATAATTCGATGTTGACAATTAGTATAATTCTGGTCATCTAAGGGTAGAACAGAAAATATCTATTTGATGTTTATTACCCAGCATTCAACTTTCTTCTAGGAAATGTTATTATGAAATTTGCGAAAGCTCATATAGGAAAGAGCGTACCTGTAGGTACGTGATACACAAATTTTGGAACCGGCGCAGCTTGAATGAAATGCAGCATGTAAACTTTTTATTTACTAATGTACGTTCGTTAGTAAGAAGCAAGTGGTTAGAGGCCTTTCCATTTGAAGCAGAGAAGTAAATCCAAAACGGACGTTTTTGAGTTGGATTGCATATTGCACAAGTAATTTCATACGAAGACCAGTTGAGGGTGTGGGTGATGCAACGTTACAGGACCTACCTGAAATGTTGTTGTAGATGGCGCTGTTAAGCAACAAGGAATGAATATGCGGATAGTAAGAAAGAAGTGCACTTGAATCTACGCCCACAATTGCTGTGTGTAACATGGAAGAATCAGTAACAGATTAAGGCATCTATAGACTTGTGGTTATTAGGAGTGTCGCTTCTTTTCCAAAGCTGAGGCCGCGTGACGATATTTTAGTCCAATAAATTAACGCACTTTGCCATATTCAACTCGCAATCTTGACAATCAAATAACAGCGCAGAAGTATACAGAAGAGAAGGAGAGTATAATCACTAAAAGTTTGAGATGACTAATTAGCTAAGAGTATACGCAATGAATCTTTGGTAAATTGTAGGGATGCACACCGAATCGCATCCTTGTTTTTGGATACTACGTAAAATAATAAAAAAACAGTTAAAACTGCATCTTTTCATGAAGACTAAGGATGCTGAGGTGTTAGTCCATGAGGGAGAGATAGAAGTAGAATTTAAAGTACAAAATTCATCTAAAAACAACAGTTTCCTCTTTGCACAGACGGAACTTACATGGATCGAAAATGACACAGTTGCACAACACAAGAGCATACACTGTTTCAGAATTTCCTTGGTGAGCTGAAAATGGACATAACGCTTTTGTTATCTTTACTGTCTTGCACAGATTTAGCTGATATTTGGGAACAATTGGATTTTCATTTAGGCAACTAACATTACAGTCGGAGGCTCGCAACACTTTGACGCGTTACGAATCTGGCAAACGACAGCTTGGGCTCCGAATACAATTTTTAATCAAAACGCTCTTATTGCATAACTGCATGAACTATAAATCTGTGAAATGATGGTTGCATGAGCATGTCATATATTTAATGGGATCCAACCGATGATGTGTACGCTTTCACGTTGCCTGGACAATGAAGAATGAACAATCAACAATGAATTTATACGGGTTAAGAAGCGTTGCTTTACAAGTCCCGTTGGATAGTTGGTGGGGATATCAACATAACAATAATGATGACAAGGATAGTAAAATAGTTAATACTTTAAATACGAAAATAAGGACTTATCGTTTGCTTCGCTGCAGTCCTGCGATCCTCTTAGATTCACAGCATCCACAGTTAACAACAAATAATTCCATGGTAAACTCCAGGTGAAGGATGGAGACGTAGTGTTAAGTAACAAAGTGTAAGTGGATGAGTGCATCGTCCAACCGTCTTTTAAATACTGTTAGTGTCGGTGCAGAGACGACCTATTCTGGGAGAGCATTCCACTGGTGACAGACACGGATGGAAAAGAAATTTCTGCGGCACTCCAGACGACTGTATTGTTCTGCGAGTTTTAATGAGTGGTCCCTCAGGATTGTATTGCTGCTGAGTTGCAGAGAAGGGCGGCACACATGATGTGGGTCTCGCATCCATTGGTAATCTAGAATAATTGTACTAATTAATGAACTGCATGATCAAGAAATTGGACTGCGTTTCATGTTGTTAATACGTCATTAAATATGGCTTATTTGCAAAACACATGTGCACAGTTATATAGCTACCATGCAACTACGTCCATTCATGCAGTTCGATTACTGTTAGATGGGACAGTACCAAATTACGCGAAAAAACATTATGTTGTCAACATTGTAGTGAATCCCGCTTTGGAATATCCACTTAAGTTCAGTATTTGTGGAGGCTAGTTAACATTGGTGTGATTTAAGCATGTTTTGCTTTCGCTCCTATCCAATAAACGCACATTTTTAGACTGTTTATACTTGTCAAGTAGTTCTTATTGCTCAAATATCTTATTTATTTTATTATTTGCACGTTGTCTGTCTCATATTACTTCCGTCCGAGTCCTCTTCTATTGGCATAGAACACCTCATGTTTCCGTTGCGACGCTGTAGAAAACCTTACGTAGTGCTTTAGTCTATCGAATGTCTTCCGTGCTTGTAGACCACTGTAGATCAGAATATTTTTACAACCATCTACGAGTGTGCCCTTTAACAAACCAACTGAATCCTCGGATTGCTGAAGGGGGCAGCGAAATTGATATGGAAATACACTTATTCTATTGAAATCAGACCTATTAAACTTTATGGAACAATGATATGAAATCGATCTATGAACGCTAAGTTAACTGCTGATATTGATAGCGTTAAATATACTTACATCCGCATTAGACAAAACATGATGTACGGCTTGTCTCAGCTGAAGGAATACGTGTCAGATCTTGTATATTCTGTTGGTTTACTTTTATACCATTCAGTGCATATGATGTCGGATCAAGTGCACTCGCTGTTCCTTCTCCGTAGCAGGCAGCAAGATGAAATAACAACTAACAGTGCAAACGAAATTGGACCGGTTTCCAATGTTCAAGACAAGGCTAATTCAGCTGTTCAATCTGGTTTGCTGTTGCTTCGCCACAATCAGCAGCCGACTAATGAACGCGGATACGTTACGACCAAACCCATGTCTCCGTGCACGAATGGGACTAATCCAACAAGCCAAACGGCACGGATTCCCGCTTCCAGTTCACTTGTCAACCAGATATTCAATGAACGGCAACAGAGCCGACATGAGGATCCCCTGCTTGTTACATCGCGCAGCTAAATACCTATGATTGTACGGCCAGCTCTCACCTCTTTCATCAATGGTGACTGATCTGTGAACACAATCATTGCGCATGCTCATGTGACGTTTTTAGAGTAATCCTCTGTTTGTCATCTAAAGAATGCCTTCTAAAATTACACGCAGCCTTTAACTAATTTTAACTTTCTCCGTTCCAACAATGTTTTACCTATACCTTGAGGTCTAAAGCATTTAAAATCTTATCCGCCACTGATGCAGGTATGGTAGATGTCATTACTCCGTGATTGCTGCCTACACTGGATCTTTCACTTGATGACATGACCACTGGAGATCCTTTGCGTTAAGCAGTTGTTCGAGCAAACCACTTCAATCCTGAACTTCTACCGACTGTCGCCGAACTCGGTTCAAATAGCTGCGTACCCTGTCTCATTCATTTTTGATACTTAGCTTCACAAAATGAAACGTTACCCACACGCTACTATATCCGGTATGGATAGATTTTACCAAAGCGCTCTAACGAGACCAACCAATTAGGTTTCCGTTGACAATGTTCCTTGGACATATGTTCTTTCCTTCATAAATAATCATACGTGGGTCTCGTCAGAACAGCTGCAGAACATCTGGGATAATCTGCTCAAGCCTTATGGTCCTGGGCTGCCTGGTGCGTTGCGGCCAAATGCTGCTGGAAGTTTGGTTTCGTAGTGCATTCTCTCTGGATATCCTGCTTGTGCCTACAATTTATTGGGGCTAGCTTCCAATAGCAGGTCTTAAAAAGTTTTGTTCATCGCTATGATCTAACAAACGTATATCAGTAAGCTGTTTAACTATGCCGTGTAGACCTCATATATATGATGTATTGACGCCTCGCTCGGCTTGAACAAGTTCGATCAATATTTTCATAATACATAATAGATACTTTGCACTGCCTCCAAATAAGCTCCGGCTGATGTGATAGACAACCGTATTGCCTCACTGCGTCGCCTGGAAAGATTATTACGTAACTGTTTGTATATCGGATGGCCTACTTGCTCCTAAGCCACTGAGCAGTACTATTTGCCCATGTGTTCCACAATAATTTCACTTGATTTAAAAATGTTGTAATTTTAGTCCGTTTAATTCTTATCAAGTACCAGCGGATTTCTTGACATTTATTTGAGTAAACCAGTATGTGCTCATTAATATGTTACCGATTTCAGTTGCCAAGCAGATATCCACAAACAATCACAAACGTTTGTACATCGTTGATAACGAACTATTTTTTCACAAAACGACGTATAATGTAACGCTGCGGAAAAGCGTGGTTAATGATAATATATTTCGAGGCATTACACAACACAGGCTATAATTCAGCGTAGCGTTTCATTTAGTGTTATTAAGAAAAGGACAATAATTTCCAGTTTACATAAACTACGCAATAGTTGCACTGTTTACATCCGAATTGCACAAATATGCGTTTCTGCATTGCTTCGCTAGAGTAATGTTCACCGAATAAGGCTATAGAAAAAGGAGTTCCATCTTCATTCCCCACATGTGTGTTGCCGTTTCATAACATAAAGTTAAATAGAAAAACGCTTACGAGCTTTGAGCAAAGTGATTTCCACGGGAATCCGTAACAGTAAAACATGCACTGGAATACGGTCTTATGTATAAGAAATAAAACCAAAATTTTTACACTACCTCTGCAATCTGTAGTTCCGCCACATACGTATGGCTTCAATCCAATAAACCCCATGCTACTTGCAAATAATTCAACTTAGCTAACCAGCAGTGCTTCAGTTCATACATGGAATCAACGATCGTCTCAATACACCTTGGCTTATGCAGGATCACTGAGAAACGGAAACAAGTAAGTAGGCCAGAAGAACGCGATGGTTTCAAGTGTTTGATCTCCATTCCCACCAACTGTGTTATATCAACAGATCACTAATGCGATGAGAGGTAATGGAGCCATCTGGAACATATTTGCTCATCAGTGACTAGATTTCGCAGGTGGTTTAGATTGAATAATTACGGAGCAATGATAACGTCTGGTGTTACCCCACAAATCGGTACAGAAGTTTGTTTAGCAATTAGTTAAGTAGGTCCAGGTGTATGCGATCGAATGTAGGGGCTGCAAATTATCAAAATGCAACTAAACGCGGAGTTGAGTAAACATAGTAACATATGAACTGGATTAAGACCTCGCGAACGGTGTTTGAGTTGGGACAATATAAAGTTGCCTAGTTGGAATCACAGTAACAGAATTGTTGAGCGGGACGGAGATGTCAGAGGATAACTCATTCGTGATTTTGCTACGGTAAGTTAAGGGCGTTATCGATTCCTTAAATTATGCAACCTGATTTCATATTAACATTTTTTAAATTATTCTGTCAAATTGATCGCTCTCTTGCATCGGTAGTCGTAAAGTACTAAAAATAACAAACACCATTCAATAAGTCGATTTCCACATGCGAACATCCCTCGGAGTAGGAAAGAGGAATCATTAATGGAAGTTTATCCCTAGTACAAACCAGGTGCATGCAGTTAGTGCCGTTTGTCATCTTTTCCCTGAAGCTGCGCGATTACACCTGCCCCCACATGACCCCGATCATCCAAGTAATCTGACAAGATTACGACCAGATTGTTTTCTTTTGAAGGGGTCGAGGTCAAGGTGCCAGATTTAATTGTTGCGCCTCCATGATTTAGCTGATAATGAACGATTTTCCCTTTTAAAGAAAAGGGTTAAGTCATGTTATTAAAACTACCTCATAACGTAATTTAATTTATAGCATTTATAATTACTCAGCTATCTTTCTACCTAAGTGGCGATCAAGGCATCTTGGAAATACTGACTCTACAACAATAAATCGAAGCAACTTCACCATCTAGGGAATATTATGAGAACATTTACAAAATAGTGAACAATATGAGTAACAGATGTTTGTGGTCTATACGCAGAGTGACGGGAAGTAGAATCATCACTTGTGCATATATGAAAGCGGCGAACACGTAAGAAATATTAACTTTTCTCTCTTCGAGACCATATGCAATTGTTGAAGTATTTCGCATTGGCTGGACGAAATAATTCTGCCAAAACTTTAAAACCGTTGTTAAATTAGTGAGATAGAGGAAAACAGATGTCTATAAGGATTTCGTAATCATCAAAGTCACCTTCAGTTCTCTATCGGAGACGGATGAATTGTTTCGGTTTCAGCGAACCCCAACTTAAGTTAAAGGTTTTATCAATCAGACCCTGCAAAAGCTTGACTTTTGCTCATGGTGCATCCATCTATGGTTTACTCGTTTGTAGGACCTTGCATGACTGATGACTTAATTTCAGTTTAGCCGCAGTTTGAGGTGCGGAAAATGCGCCCACACGGGCACTTGCAGCTTATATTTGTTGGACTTCGCTGAGGGATTCAACAGGTCACTATCTATGCTTAATTGCTAAGTGACTGGAATTGCTCAGTAATAAAGCCAATATCGAAAGGGGGTGTCACGAGTAAAGAGGATAACTACGGCTGATCGTCCTGACCGATGTTTTGGCAAAGACGCTAGAGGTCATAAAGAAGGATCTTCCACAGCTTCCTCAAGGTATGGTTTCGTGTAAGATCGTTTATGCATCCCAAGCCTACAGTCGACAAGGCACGAATAGTTGTAAGCACCTGAAACCTGTTCGTCCCAGCTGCTAACAAACTACATAGCACAATACCCATTTGGAAATGCACCATACGCATTTTTCACTCATCAGTGGTAGGCTAGCTAGCTGGCGTCAGCCTCTAGTGGTCATGGGTTTAATCCCCAGAAGGGGACCGAAGGATGCGCACCACTGCCGAGTTAAAATATAGTAAAAGTTCCGTCTGTTACTTTTCCGGATGGCGTTGTGAACCTTTGGGAAGAAGACATTAAAACTCTCACCGTCGATTGCAGGTTGACCTGACCATGAGGCAACAGATAGTAAACCTTGTTGATTACTTCATTTTGAAGCCGCTGCTCCGTATGCACTCACCAACCTGCACACGAGTACACCGGAACAAGCTTTACTACCAGGATTTGAAGTTGGTCGCGGAGTGATTATTCTGCTGATAATATAGTGCTAAAAATGTACGCTTGGGGGTACTTAAACTTATCTTCACTTGCCGTGAAATTCAACTGGGATTTTGGAAGATCAAATCGCACAGCACGCTTCTCCGTCTCGCATAGCCACCAAGTCTGTTCAGCTCGAAATGCTAATCACATTAGGCGGACTGCGTGGTCTTAAACAACAGGTCGTCAGATATACCAGTCCAAGGTAATGATGACTGTTTGTTGATGCATTAAATATTTAAACCCGATTTCCGACCTCCTTTGATAATGACAGCTGCCAATTGTTGCATACAATCCCGGTTTCCCAGCTTGTAGAAAATATTTTTTTATTTTAACATTGTTCCTTACCTTTTTAAGAAGGTACATAATTCTGCAAGGAAAATAATTACCGGCTTTGTTTAGGTAAAACTTTGTGTAGACTGCTTCAGAGCATGTAGTTTATATCACGTTTCAACTAGCTCGTGAATCTCCCCATTGTCTTCTGCACAGTTCGTATCTGGCATGGCAGTGGAAGATGAGCCGGACTATACCCTGTCAATCAAGCATGTCCGAGGCTGTCACCCATGGCGAAGTGGCACTAGCTGCTGGCATCCTGCAGTCCTGGGGGCGGAACCTTGCAGGGGTCCGTTGGGCGCCGCACCACTGATGCGACGCAGGAGGTCTAAACACCGGAGTCTGGTGCTTTTTCAGACTAGCCTAAGCCTGCTGATTGGGAGTGACAAGGAAAATTAGCGGAACTATTTTTAAATATGCCAATTCTCTGAGCAGACACTAAGTGGCGACATATAGCGGAGTATAGACGATGCTTTATTAACTAGCTTTCTCGTTCAATTCCGTCAGTAAAAGGTGCAGCAAAACACCGACTCTTCGCGGTCGTCTGACATATGACGTGTGGGTGCTAGTCAAACGTGCGGTTGAAATATATTTTCTATTCTGTGAATAGCACAGTTCACAAA